TGTTGAACTTCATGAGGTGTTGCTGCCCTGCTACCCGCGTTGGTAGTCTGACCAGGCAAATCATCTAGGTTAGGGTCTGCCTCTGCTCCTTCTGGTACGCTGCTCATCCCAGCACCAAATCTACGCGATCTCAGAATGAAATCCGTGATTACTGTAGAGAGACAGCCATGGCACCAGTCGAATTTAGGGCTCTTTTTCACACACAAAACACGTCTAGCGCTTCGTTGCTGCCTTGCTTTAAGGTCTGTGCAACTGCTCTGGAGAAAACTGTAGCTGCGTTCTGCGATGCTTCACTTCAAGCCACAACTACAGTCACGAGGAGGTATCCAGCTGTACAAAGCGAAACCTGGAATTCTACACTCCTCCTTGGAACCATCGTTAGATGAGTTCCACATAATACTTACCTGACGTCCCTGGCTCTGCTCAGGCAATACTGGCAGACAGCCTTTGGCTTGATGTTGAAAGCCCGTCGGAGCCCCCTGCAATCCTGATCCCTGTGAACACAATCACCTCCCCCAGACACATAAACATACTCTCCAGGATCAAGAACAATCACAGGATCAGTTTGCATGGCTCTTGCTGTGCTACCACTACTCGGAAGGTTGGGTTCCTTTGCGGGAATCTTTGACCTGAAAACCCTTTGTTCAACAGGCCCCCCTGACTCAGCTCGATGCGCCACCCAAGATGGCACGTTGCTTTCCTTTATCCCTTCGGAAGGACCACCTTGCGACGAGGTAGGAACATCTGCACTGCTTGTGGCGCGCTGACCTTGGTTAGCGCCCGTTGGTCCATGAGGGACCTGCACTGTGATTCCTCCATACACAACAGTAGGCGAAGGGGCTTGCCACCCTTCACCCGTAGCATCGCCTGTGTTGGAGCACTTGTTCCGACTTCGCCGCCTTGGCATGGCCTCATCCCCGGTAGGACTTTCACTCATCACCGCTTCAATCGCCGCTGCAACCTTGTGTTGCAGCTTCTTAGCCCGCCTTTCTTTATGCACCGTCACCGCGCGGATTTGAGGCTGCTCCTCAGGTTCACTGGCTCTTGATCCGCATGCTTTTTCCCACACGAAAAGCGTGGACAGCACAATCAGCACTGTTCAGAAACACTAACTCCCAAGGCCACTCAAATGAGCTCTGCCTCTGAAGAACTCAGAGAAATCAAAGGTTGTTTTGATGCCTTCCAAAGCACCGGAACACCAGACACTTCGATGATGTGCCCACCGTAGGAATGCTGCCCCAGTGGGGCAAACGATGCGTCAGTGAAGACTCTCAAAGGAGCCACACCCTCTGTGGGCTTCAAGTGAAGCTTGAAGTCCTTGGTGTGATGCAAATACGCCATCATTCGCTGACCAATTGCAATGGCTCCATGAGGATCCTTCGAAACTTTCGAACACAGAACTGTAGTTGCAAACGCAATGTCAATGCGAGATCGCTGTGCCAACCATAGGCATTCGCCTGCCAACTTCTGAGCAGACTTCACTGTCTGATCATCAAAAGGCTGCACTGTTTCCGGTGCATGCATCAAGATTTCTCTAGGGCACACAATCTTTGACCGGTTCGCTTCGCTGAGCTTGTAAGCCCGAATGAGCTCGTCAACGTAGGCCTCCTGGTCCAGACTGAAATGCCCATCTTCATGACCCTGAAGTTGCATGCCTAGGAACCTCACAGGATGACCAGGCCGCGCCTCGCTCAACCCATCGGTTTCCCACCCAGCTTCACTCAACAACCACTGATGCAAAGCTCCGGCCGTGTTCTTGTCACTGAGAACCAAGAAGTCGTCCACATAGGTTACCAAGTACCCCATTAAGACGGTCCCTTTCATGATTCTCCAGACTGACGAATCTGCTGTTCCTTGCTCCAAGTGGCATTCTGCAAAAACTGCCTTTCTCAACTTCGCGTCGCGGTGGTCAGACCACCAAGCCGGGGCTTCTTTGAAGCCGTAGAGAACCATCCCTAGGGAGTAGTACTCCCCCTGTTCGGCGAGTCCGAGCCACCGGGGAGGACGCAGCAGGTACCGCTGAGCTGCATGCGCCGGTATTGGCGTTTGGGTAAACGCCGACTTGATGTCGGTGGTGAACGCTGACCACTTGTGGTGGTATGCTTGTGTCAATGCTACTCGCACCGCTTCTGCCGGGGCTCCAGCTGCATACAAAGAATCAGCATCCACATGTGTGGCCTGGTTGCCACATCCCACCAATCGACACTTGCGTTTGAACAAGCCATCCTCAGGCCCACCCGGGGCCTTGGCAGTGAAAACCCCTTTCAAGGAAATCACCGTCATTTCTGGATTCGCAATCAGCTCCTTCGCCTCTTGACCCCGGTGACTGATCAACACACCTTGCTTCTTCAAGGAACCCAGTTCCTTCTCAATAGCAGACCTCCACTTCTCAAGATTTGATCGAACCTCTTCTTGAGATGCAGTGTGCGTTACACTCAATGGCTCTTGCAGCCGGTCCAATACTGACTCCAGGTCCTTGGTGGTTGTTGCTTCGGTCTTGCACGCGAGGGCTTCGGGCTCTGGAACCGGGACAGGTTGTACAGGCACAACCTTGATGAACGTGGGATTAGGAAGATGCACCGGGAGTTTGGCTGGACCTGTGGGAAAATTACACCTTCCAACCTCAGTCCTCACGGCACGAACCTCTGGCGGTGGAGGCCCAGGAGGTTGAAGGATCGGTTGTATCTCCTCCTGACGCTGCTCCTCCTGAGGTGGTCGCCTTGCCTCCACACGAAGGATCACCATTTCGACAACATCTCGGATCACATCATGCACTGAAAACATGAGCATGCGATCAGGGAACGGGGACTCTTCCGTGGGCCCGTCATCTGCGAAATCCAAGACACGTGCGAGCAGGCGTGGCTCGCCTTCGGCTCCTGGCACGATCACCTCTGGATTTCTGTTCCAGTTTCTTTGTCGAAACACCGTTTGCATGAACAGATGGTGAGGAATTGATGCCGACAGGGCGTTCATGTTAGGGTCCTCATCCTGACCCCCAAGGACACGCTGCCAGCGACCCATCCTTCGCTCAAACTCTTCTTCTTCCAATTGGCAAAGCTCCGCCCATTCATCACCAGTCATCCTGGCATACCTCACCATCATCGCCGCTCTGCCTGGAGGTGGCGGGTAAGGTCTAGCACGGATACCAGGTAACCTAGTAGGGCAAGGTCCAACCAACTTACACACCGCCGGAGGGCGATCCAGTGAAGGCAACCTAAACCCTAACTCGATCAGCTGGTGCTGCTTGAAAGCGGTAAGCTTCTTGTATCCCAGTGGCGTGTACCCTGCAATAACCCAATTCGTAGCAGGCAGCACTGCATGTCGACACTTGGGATCAAACACAGTAGTGGTTTGGGTCAAAGGCAACAAGTATCCTTTGTGAGTGCGTCCTTTGCCATCTTGCTGTGCCAATTCTGGAAGCACAGGCGACGTCCCTTCAATCCACATCAAACGTGTTGTCAACTGCGTCACATGATTCAAGGACCCAGGTTCATTTCTCACATCCCGGTGCATGGCAACTTCATCGGCCACAACGATCATTAGTGACGACCACTCATTTGCTGCAAGCTGATTGGGAGAGCACTGGCGCAGGTACTCATTCAGGTATCGACACACCATTGGGTACATCCGACTAGCTCTTGTTATCCCTTGCAAGCCACCGTGACTGTAAGCACCGAAGATAACCGAAAACCCTATCGGACCACGATGCTCCCGACGCGTCCCTCCTCCAACTCCCTCAAACGCCAGCTGGAGTAGTCTTCCACAGTGATCAGACGAAAACAGCAATCCCTCCAACAGTGTTTCAGCATAGTCCTCTGCGGCAAGTTTGACAGAACGCGCTGCTTTCTTGCCTGTAACACGTCTGCTGGGTACCACTGGTGAGCTTCCTTGAGTGTGATCGAAGCCAGGCTCAGGAGGATCAACCTCCATCACCTGTTCAGCTCCAAACTCAGCTTCGGGATCCACCATTTCCTCCACACACCGCACGTTCTTTGCAACAAGGTAGGCACTCGAAGACGCGCGAAGAAGCACGTGCCCTCCCTCCGTGCGAGGGGTTGGACACAAGTACACAGCATGCTCCCACCGCAAGAAAGGTCTCTTAGACTTGCCAGTGGGATGCTTGCTCTTGAAGATCACCTTCTGGCCGAACCTTGGTAGCTTTTCCCCGGTTTGCAACAACCGGCTTCTGTGCTCAGCGCACGCAAACGCCATTGCCGAGGGCCATTGCTCCAGACCCAAACGCGACGATGCTAAATGCAACCTTGCCCTGGCCTTAACCCAACCCACTAGTCTTTCTGCCAGGCCATTCGACTTCGTTCGGATCATCACCCTGAGTGAATGAAGGCTGAATGAGGTTGGACTGAAGCCAGTCCATGGTAGCCTTGGACATAAGTTCCTTGGCCCGGTCGGTGTGAACAACTTTCACTGGGTAGCCGAGGCGGTTGCACTCCGTGACGATTTCTTGTAGACCTGCAAGGATCAGTGGACCCTTTCTAGCCTTCAAGGGCACTGCAAACCTCAAGACCTTGTTGGCACCTGAGAACAACATCTCAGAGAGGGCTTCATCAAACTTCTCATCGGTCATTTCACCGAAACCCCCAACATCTTCCCAAGGATCAACGTCTAAGCCGACACCACCCTCTACTCCGGGCTCATCATCTGCTTCAACAGCCGCCTCCACACCAGAGCATTCTGCCTCATCAACAAAAGGAGCTTCATACCAGCCTACCTGTGAGCCATCATCCTCCTCCTGAGATGATGAGTCATCTTCACCGACCTTCTTCACAGCGGGCGTCGGTTCTAGCTGATCTCGTAACCAACTGGCTTCGGAGGCTGCATCGTCATCTTGCTCTGGGCTACCACACACCTCAGCCTGAGCCTCTGGAGGCTGTGGTTCACCTGCTGGTGCACCTTTGTCGTGCCTTGGCGAAGGCAATGCAGCATCAGGCACACGGAGACCAGCTACAAGTACATACTTGTATTTCCCACCACGGTCGTCTCGGCCTAGTTCTTTGAATGGTCCCGCTAGGTCAAAAGCTAGTGCATACATGGTGGGGCATTTGACACGTCGATGCTGCAGCCCCAGAGACCCCGACATAACACACTGTATACAGTCCTTTCTGAACGGAATGTGATGAGCAGCAATGTGCTTGCGCCACCGTTCACGTTCGGCCTCTGTCATACGCGCAGCTACACTTCCCTTCTTAGCCTTGGTACCTTCCTTTGCACCTGTGGCACTGGACGATGCCTGCACACATGCACCTGCACTGCTGTCTACACACTGATCAAGACATTCTTCTTCTGCCCTTGGGGGGGGAACTGGGACTTCATCCGATTCCCTTAGCGGCTCACCATCGACAGCTTGAACCTCTGGCACAGGAGGCTTGAAAGACACAGGACCTGGAGGCCTTGTCGGATCTGACAACAGATATGCATCTGCCGCTTCCACAACTTTCACTGAAGTGGGCTCCTCCTCAGTCTGCCTTGATGCCGCCAACCCAAACAAGGCTAAGCTCAACTCACTTTTGAAGGTAGTGGGCCACTCTGGATCTACAGGCACGTCATCTGCACGGGACCCTGCGGTTAGGGATCTCACCCCCGTAGACGGAAAACCCAAGTTGGTACACACCTGGAAGGGCTTTGTTTGCCTGACACCTTCATGCACCCCTGGGACCTCAAACTCTGTGCTGTTGCTCCATTCGGCAAACGGACTCACGACGGCTTCCAGCCAGGGCGAGGAGCGAGACTCACTCTGCAGCGCATGGGTCTGGCAAAAAGGAACACCTTCACCCTTCGCAAGCGATGCAAGCGTCCATAACCACATTGGTTGGATTCCTAGGACAGTGTCATCATCAACCCTAGCTTGCATCCCCTCACTGTTGCTAGGCTCGCCCCACAAATGCTCCTGACTCCGCAGCTGAATGCAAGACGTTTCGTCAACCTTCACTGAGTTCCATGTTCTCATAGGAGCATCACCGAGGATACCTGCGACACGACCTGTGAAAGCTGCCCAGGACAATGCCTTCCAAACACCTGGCTCAAGGGTACCATCGGGCGAATTGTCAAGCACCACCAGCTCAAGGTGCTGCGCCTTGCACAACTGCCTCAAGGTCGGATCTACCTTGTTGGTGCCTAAGTGCAACAACCAAGCATGAGACTGATGAAGCTTCTTCCTTGTTGCCCGGTTGAAAGGCAAACCCTTCAAAGCCTCCCACCCAACTGCGTCTTGCAAATCCACCAACAAACGGTTGGTAACACGCTCTGGAACTCTTCCAAGGAAAGGCATGAAGCGCGCAAAGGCAAGTGCGGTTCCGTAGCTCCCCTGGGTCACAAATGCGTCCAAGGCTTCTTCGAACTGCATGCCACCAGCAACTTTCAACTGAGCCTGGACCCTTCGCAGCCTCCCAGAAAGTTCTTGGAGTCGGGCCCCTTCTAGCTCTTTGACAAGCTGAAGTGCTTGCTCCTTACCGAGCTGCGGACATCCACTTTTCAAGCTGGTTTTTAGCCTTCCCAATCGAGGGTGAATCAACTGGAGGCCAGATTTGCGAGACCAACGCACTGTGCAACCGAGCTGTTCGATGAGGCACCCCAATGGCAGTATGGTCTGCGACACACTTCCTTCCTTGTTTTCTGGAGCCACTAGCGAACCCCCGGGTGTTTGGTGCCAAACTTGTTTTTGGTCACCAGCAAGCGACACAGTACATGGGATAAGGTCGGCGCTGTGCACCGACGAGGCATCAAGCACAGCATGCGTTGCACCCGAATCCAGCAATGCTGTGGGCTCCTCCTGGCTCAAGGCGCCTGCATGCACAGCACGAATGCGGGGCCCTTGATCTGAGAGGCGAGATTCAAGACTTTCAAGCTGCGCCTGAATTTTGGCTGCTGCTGCTATAGGTGACTCACTGCCTTGGCCAAGATTATCTCCTGAGGTTGTTGAGGCTTGACCCCGAGTCTGATCTGACGGGACCTGCAAGTTGCCATCAGAGCTGGCAGATTGGGAAGACAGCACGTCCCTCAGAACTCCAGCAGCCTCCGAGAGCACCTTCTTCAAGCCAGGATCTGCACCTTTGGCCTTGGCCTGACCTTCAACCTTTGCAGCTTTTGCCGAGCTTGCGCCGTCATCTCTCTTTGCCACAGCCCCTGCTGGAGCGTTAGGGCATACATCCTTTCTGTGTCCCTTTGCTCCACAAGCCATGCAACGCTCAGCGCGATCTGGTTTCGGGATCTGGTTCCAATCGTGCAGGAAACGACACTCCTTGCCCCTCTTACACCCTTTCCCTTCATGAAACCACTTGCACAACTTTTTGGGAGAATCCGCGGACGCAAGAACACCACCACCCTTGACACCCTTTGGGTCCTTTACACCTGGATTGGCGTCATTTGCTCCCTGGACCTTTGCCTCGACCTGGCGAACATTCTTGTTGGCTTCGGGCTTTGCACCTGTCGCTGTGACTGGTTGTACATCTGAAACCCGGGACACAGCCTCTAGCTCAACAAGCAAGTGCTCATAGTACTCCCCCACTTTACTGGTGGTGGGTTGAGTGTCCAAGTGAAGCGAAGCACGCGCAAGGTTGATCCGGAAAGACAAACTTGGCAGTGACCGAAGCACGTTGCTGGTGATTGACTCCAAAGCTTGCACACACAGCGCTGCATCGGGAGAAGCTCCCCCTAGATCAGTAAGCCTCGTCATCCATCGCTTCCAGGTCCTCAGACGAAGAACAGCATCAACGGCTGAATCCGCAGGGCGGGGACTTTGAACCTGTCTTAGGGCTTCTGCTCGTTCCGCAACTCCTCCTGGCTTGTACACCACATGCAGTCGACAAAGTATCCCCATCACACCGCTGATCCTAGCAGATGAAAGCTCTGACTTGACAGCATCTGGACAGCTCTGAATGATGAGGTGCTCCATTCTGTGGCGTACACGGGCCCAACGCGGTTCCGCATCGATGCTTGACGTCGGGACTCTGAGTCTCACCCTACCAATGGGGTTGGCAGGCACAAACTGGTTGTTGTACCAATCTCGAGCCTCCTGAAGAACCCTTTCCCAACAGTCACCTGACGTGTCTGAGAGGTCACTCATCGACGGCTTCACAGCATGAATCCAGTCCGAAAACCCCAGTGCCCCTTCTAGAGTTGGAGGAGGAAGCTTCACAAGCTCAGTCACTCCTGGCCTCACAACTTCTGGATTGGAGCCCGAACTTGTCGATGCACTGCTATGCTTGCTTGCTGCAAGATCAGCAACCACATTCTGAAGCTGAACAATCCCCGAAATCATTGCTTCAAAGGGGTTTCTAGGAGCCTCAACCCTGTGAGTGCTATCAAATCCCCCTGCGCTTGGCTCTGGCCTGCTGGTCCCTGCGCTCATGCCTGAAGCCAAACCTACATTGCCTGTACCTACGCCTTGGGCTGCACTTGCAATGCTGCCTGCGCCTGTACCTTGGGCAAAACCTTCACTGCCTGTACCTGCGCCATGGGCTACACCTGTCGTGTCACCTGCGCCTGTACCTTGGGCAAAAACTGCATTGCCTGTACCTACGCCTTGTGTTGCACTTGCCGTGCCACCTGCGCCTGTACCTTGGGCAAACGTTGCACTGCCTGCGCCTGCGCCTTGGATTGCACCTGCGATGCCACCTACGCCTGCGCCTTGGGCTGCACTTGGGTCACTTAGGGAAGAGCCTAAGCCTAGTGGACGCTGCCAACCTTGTAAGGCTGAAAGAGGTTGCCACTGCTGCTTAGGGTACCCATGATTCCCGGAATTAGCCAGGGATGCTGAGGACTGGACTAAACCATACGGGGTTTGGTGCTGACCTGCTGAGGGAGCAATCGGAGTAGCAGGTTGTATCCCACCAGCTTGGTGCACGACCTCCAAACCTGAGAGGGCAGTAGAAGAGGATGCGAGAGGGGGCGGCGGGGATGTGAAGGATCCGGTGGGCATGGCCCACCCCTCAGGTATAGCCAATGGAATCGAAGCTGACTTCACGGGTACCTGCTGAACAAAACCCATCAGGTTCTTCCTTATTCCACTGAACCACCCTCCCTTTCCCTGCTGTGAACCCTGTCCTTCCGGTACTGACACACTAGAAGAAGCTACCTGCCGCAACACTTGATTCTCCTCTACTAAAACAGCTACTCTCTGCTGAAGCTCTGTCTGTACACGCATGAACGTTTGCATTTGCTTCTTCACTTCAGCTTGAATGGCATCCGCTTGGTCAGAACCTGAACTCGCCGAGTGAGGCAAAGGCGGCGATGGACTTGTCGGTCGTGGCTCATTCTCCTCGCCAGCATACAACAGCGGCGCTTCGTTTTGCATCTCACGCAGCCTCTGTGCCTGCTGAGGTGAGAACAGACCTGGCTCTGCTGCCTCTTGGCCTCCACTCGAAGAGGGATGATCCCGTAGATTGTCAGACCCTGCTGTCACATATCCAGAACCCAACGTCCCAGCTGACCCACCATCGTCCTGTCCCAGAAAAGAAGATGCACTCCCAGTCTTGCCGGAAGGTGGCATCGCCCCTTGAACCTTCGCAGCCACGGTCGCCATGACCCTCCCGGCTGCCGCTCGTAGTGACGCCACTGCAGGCCCTTGCTCGGCCCTTCCAACATCTCCAGATGCACTTTCTCTCTGTGATTCAGACACCGACGGTGGTCCTCTTATCTCGCTGTCCATCATCATGGGACCCACAGATCCATAGGACCCAAACGTCCCATTCAGCACTGGCGGAGGTTTCGCTTTAGCGGATTGGGCTCATAACCTGTTGAACTTCATGAGGTGTTGCTGC